GTAAACGGACGCATTAATCATCCCCTGAATTTTCCTCCGGGTACACCGGGGGAAGCTTAAACCACTACGAGTCCCCGGTAGCAGCGGCGTGATACATCTTGAAAATCCTCCATCTTCCGCGCGGCAATTTCCGCCTTATTTATTACCAGTAATTTTTAATATCGCGTTATTGCTTTCGTGCACGGGAGTCTCTCGTTACGAGATCCCTCACGTGGAAACTAACTTGTCCTACATCTCTCTCTCTCTCTCTCTCTCTCTCTCTCTCTCTCTCTCTCTCTGTGGTATCACTCCCTGGAATCTTCACTTTTTCTGGCACTCTTCCCTGACCGACCGAGGAGGGGGGAGCCGAAACCGAGGCGTTCCAGCGAACAGAGGCCCCCGTAACGAGCGACAGAGGCCACGAGCGTCGGACAAAGTGACGGACAGACATTGTCCCGAACGTTGCGGATTGAATGGCGGCTGGCATCGATCGGTATCGCTTATTCACGGAGTCGAACCGTGAGGCCGGTAGATTTTCGAGCGGTGGTGGATCGAGAGAAGGGCCGAAACGAATGAAAGCGGCCGCGGATATCAGCGGGACTGGACAAGTCATCGATTTTCGCATCGAGGCGTGCATACCAATCGAGACAGAAAGAAGGGGGACGGGAGAGGCCACGGTCGCGGTCGCGTGAGAAGCTATAATTAAGCAACAGGTTGTAGCTTCTTCGCGGAAATTTATGAGCAGCGGCCCGGATGGCTGTTTTATTGAATTTTAACCCTATCGTGTTTAACCCTCCTTTCCTCCCCCCCCCTCCCTTCTCTTCCAATCGTTGTTGGAGCTCCGTTCAGGCTGCAGACAGAGGCTTTTTGCGAGCCGGCATTCGCATCGATCGACCATTCGTGGCGGAATGGCAATTGATTGTAAAAAGGCCGGCCCGCGTGATCAATAACGCGGAAAGAGGCGCCGCTTGCCAACCGTTCCCGAGGCCGAAGGTGAACCTGGAACGGTTTCCGGTGCCCCTATTTTCGGCAAGATTAAAGGCTAACCGAGACGGGGCAAATGTTAATGGAACCGGCCCCGAGCTTCTCCGGGATTTCTCCGCCAGCCGTGGCTGGCTGCGCCCTCTCTGTTTCCGACTCGCGAATTTCCCGATGTGCAACCTCTCCAGCCGGCCAGGGAAATTAACGAGCTTTTATCGGTGCGCGCCGTTGCCAGGAATAATGGCTTTGGTCTTGTTGGTACACACGTACGTGACTGGGCACGGGGTACACTCGCAGAAGAAGGGCACGTTAACAATCATCTCGCGTGAATTTTACGGGTATTTTTTGTTTTTGTTTGTTAAATTATGCGGACATGTATTTACTGTACTCGATCGTACCGGTCGAGTGTGACTTAATAGGTATCCGATAACGAGACTTTATGTTTTCATTGCAGCGAACCGTATACGAGTCTTGTTTGAATCGCGATGAATTCCACTTCGCTTCGATGGATCTCTAAATGTTTACCGACGTAAAACTACAGTTTGATAACGTTGATGATGGAGAAACTCATGAAACTCTTCCTTATTATTGATTCATTTTTCATGCCATCGAGAAAACCAAGGAGACATTTAGGTTAGGTTCATTCAGCTCGCGTATCTAGATCTGTATTAATTACAGAATATTCGTAATTAATTACAAAATGTTTGTATTAATTACAAAATCGTATCTATGTTTGTATTAATTACAAGATATTCGTCCGACTAAATCATTAAGTGAACATTTTTCATGTTATCAAAAAAACGAAGGAGACATTTAGGTTAGGTTCATTTAGCTCGCGTATCTAGATCTGTATTAATTACAGAATATTCGTAATTAATTACAAAATGTTTGTATTAATTACAAAATCGTATCTATGTTCATATTAATTACAAGATATTCGTCCAATTGAATCATTAAATGAACATTTTTCGTACCATCAAAAATGAAGGAGACGTTTAGGTTAGGTTTAGATGAGACATCTTGCACATCTAAGTTTGTATTAATTACAAGATATTCGTACATCAGTCACAGAATATTTTAGCTTTACGAAATATTCGTCTCACCGAATCATGAAACGAACATTTTCCACGTCATCAACAAAATGAAGGAAACGTTTAGGTAGCCCTTCCCCCAAAATGAGATATAAATGGTGTTCAGGCTCGTATTGATTAGTTACAAAATATTCGTCTGGCAACAAGGGACAACGAACAGTAGAAGTTCGTAGACAATGGAGCGGAAAACGATGCGAAACGGTATAATGGGAAAGAAAAAGAACGCCATAAGTTGTTTTCCTCGCCCTCGAAGGAATTTCACCGGCGCAATTATAGAAAATCGCTGGCACACGATCGTGCGGGCGTCGAGCGGGAACGAAGACGGCCAAAATACACGGCCAATTTGCGCGGGAGGTACAGCCGAATTGGAGCGCGAGCCGGAGGATTGTTACGCAAAATCGTTCCTTCCTCGGGCTTCCAGGTCCCCGAGAGCACCGTGGAGGGATCGACGTGCCACAATCGTCGATCCACGATCCACGATCCGCACAGCCTGCCTATTCTTGGCCGACGATTCACCGGCCTCAATTTCGCATCGATGAAAACGGCCGTGGCCAGAGGGAAGAAGAAGAAAGTAGGGGGAGGGAGGGAGGAGGAGGAGGAGGAGGAGGACAAATCAAGAGCAGAGAGAGAGGACGGTTGATCCACCGCGAAGAGGTCCCTCTCAATCTGCAGTCGATTTTCTCGTGCGCCGACCCAATTTCGATGCCGGTGCGGGCAATTTAACTCAGGCCCGGGCTGTTCGTGGAACGTCCTCCTGTCGGATTACCGGATTCCTCGTCGCGGCGAAACGGATTCTAACCGTTTTCAGTGCCGTGCAGCGTCGGTTCACGTCGTTCATCGTGTTTGGTCTGATGATGATGCTTAATTTACAAAATGGCGCTCGGTTTCGATCGTAGCGCCACGTCGTCATCGTCAGTCGAAGTATATCGGACGAGTTTTGCAAGAAATCCAAATTTACAACGCACAATGTGCTTCTTTATTCCAAACAATTATATTTGTAGAAATATTTCATTGACAAGTTAATTCAATAATAAAGGATAAAGATAATTCAGTCAGGTGGTGAATCGACAAATTTGTAAATAAGAGAACGTCATATTTGATTATATTGTTCGTAAAAATATTATATTTCAGTCAATTTTTCTTAATACTTTTTTGAGTAGATGTTACTAGCATGTCAAATGCGTACTAAATTTTTCATCTTAATTTTCATCAATCGTTGTCTTAGATCGTTATATTCCTTCATCGATGTAGTACCTTCACGTTCTATTCAATGAATAATTCTCGAAACAGATCTGGCGACACTGTTCGTATTTTTTAATTTTAATTTTCACCACTAGTAGTGCTGCGGTGGAAAATCTGCCTGAATCGGTACGACAGGATGTGACACAAAAATGGTAACCTCAAAATCATGGCCGAAGAAATACATTGAATGCAATGTATTCATATACCTCGTCTGCCAGGCAATAGGACAAGAAAGAAGTTCTAGAAACTACGAAAAAGATACAACATAGGAAAAAAAAAATCCGCTTTTATTTATACAGATACTTCTACAATGTTCCAGGAAGGTTTAGGTTTAGGTTAGGTTTTTAACCTAAACCAGAATTGGCGACGATTAAAGCATAAAATTTCCAACGTCAGAGACATTGAAGTTAAAAAAAGTATAGAAACTTTAGAATATGATGGATTGTACAAGCTTTCATTTATCATATTTTACGAAAAATTATTGGTCGTTTTGAGTAGTTTGATAGTTCTAGTGTTAAATAACATTAATCCTTTGGCACTAATACTGTTACCACCATGACACACAATGACGTCATGTGTTTCCTAACCTAAAATTGACAATAACGTCTCTAAGATGTTCGTAGGTTATAAATGCTCACTACGACAAGAGTATAAAGATTATCTTTGTTAAATTTACACAGATGAAAGATAAATATCACTTTTCGATCGTATTTTCGTATCGAATTTCGTTTGATTTGTACGTCGAAAGTGCTCGTTCGCCGCCATTTTCGCGTCCAACGTCGTTGGCCGCCATTTTGTTCAGATCAATCTCATCAGGCGGGAACTGATCGGTTTTGTAAAGACGTTTCTTGATTTAATACATCGATCGACAACGCTCATGTTGTATAATATCGTAGACTACCTATCGTTTGACTGTTTCACGAGCGATATCCGGCTATTTTCTTTGTTCACCACTCGCGATATACCACAGACGCGGGGGGCGCAATTTGAAGAAATCCTTCGAACATTTAGCTCTCGCAGCCAGCTTCCACTCTTCCGTATTCAATTGACTGTGCTTGCAGTTTCAGTGACACTCTCTCGTACGGTGTCGTATATTCGCGGGCAAAATTACCATATTCCAGCCTCCGGTACGTGTTCCTGGATCGTGTCTGGCCCAGATCCCGCCCGCCGACTTAATAAATGGAACCTTTCGCGGCACGCGTACCACGCAGGTTTCTCGTTTA